CATTTATAAAGCATTTTTCAAATAGTAAAATTGTATAGGGAAATTTTGAGTACTAATATGAGCTCTCTAGATCTCAGTTTTGACATTACAATTTCATTTGGCCACTTTTTAAAAAGACAAACAACATAACCATGGCCCATGCTTAAATCCCACTAGCACTCTTCGTCTTTGCATAGAGGTGCACCTGAGCCTAGACTTCTTAAGGCTGGTGCTCCTTAAAGGTGGCAATTTATCACAAATTCCTGAATCCCCCACTCTGCAGAGAAAGGAATACACATTGTGTAATTGACATAAAGGACAGCACGTGCCCTGTGCTCTCGGAGGGAGGGCTGACAGCGCTGCAGCCTGCACACACAGAGGTACCCTGTGCTGCTGCCCTGGGATGGGATCCAGCTTGGTTGGTGGCATCTCAAAACTCTGTCTGTCCTGGGCAAGGGGAGTGGGGGCCTGGGCTGCTCCCTCACTCCCAGCTCTACATAAAGCTGAGATATAGTGCCCTGTAAGGTGCAATACAATCCCCGTGGATTGATGGGGTTTGATACAGCCCCATGCCAGAGGGGTGCTCCCGTGCATTCCTTCCAAGAGGCATCCCTTGGACTTGGTCCCACTTTCCTGGCAACCACGGGCTGGATTGAGAAAGGGTGGATCCCACTTGGCTGGGGAGCCCTCCCGGGGTCCACGGCACAGCCAGGAGAGGGAAGAAAGTCGGAGCAGAGCTCCCTGTAAGGCGGTGGGAGCTGGAGCTGGCCGAAGCACGAGGGCGCATCGTCTCTAAGATACAGTGGCTTGGGGTAGCTTTTCCTAAACAAAGAGCATTATAAGAGAGCCACTGCTGGAAATTTCCATTCCTTTGTTGGCTTGATGCTGTGTAAATAAATGCATTCCTAAGATTTTTCATAATCCTGGAAAGGGCCGTAAATGAAACTGTATAGTTTGCCAAATCACTGGAGTTCATATATATTATTCCTCAGCTGCTGGGAACACGATATACAATGGCACAGAATAGAATGCAAGAAACATATGCTAAAGGTCTTCTTAGAAGCACTCTGTGCATTTGTATGTGGCATATACAAATATTTATTTTCATTTGCTCTATGGGATTTAAATATTCAACCCATATTGCAACTTGGATTTGTGATATACTTACCTTAACTCTAAATAATCCTTACCTGACAAGTGACCTTAGCAGCATTCCCTAGTTTAATATGTGGGTGCATTGAAAGCATTTGTAAATTAGTATTAGATAAAGGTATAATCAACCTTTTACTTTATCTTCTCCTTTTCCTTATATTTGGATTTCATTTAAAAGTAAGGCAATTTGGGGAGATTCGGTTTCAATAATGATATTGTGCCTGATGTATTTACACACTGAATGGCTTAAAAATGCATTTTCAATGTCTTACATTTTTGTAATAAATAAACACTAACTACTTATAGAAGAGATACAGTCCTGTATCTAGTGTACTGGTAACGTAAACTTAGGAGCTACCTAAATAGTAAAGACTATTATGTTTTCATTGTTAGAAATCAGATATTTTTCTTAAAATAGGCTAATAACTTCTCCCACTAACTCTACTCCCTTAGATTCAGTTTATCTGTATTTATAAGATCACTTCCCTGTTTAAAGTAGTACAAATGCTTTCAAAATTTTTAACAGAAACTGTCCTTTAGACTACTGGAATTATGTTTACCACCTTTTTTTTTATTTTTGAGCACACTGACACCTATCTTATATTGAGACTTTTCTACAGCTATACCTGCTTTCCTTAGGATGAATATTTTAATTTTGAAAATCATATCCCCTAGTAATGCAGTTCTACTGGAAAAATATCAAAATTACCTGGAAATAGCACTTTTTTTAAAGCACTTTTCAGTTTTAGATCTCAAAGTTTTAGACAAAAGAGAACACTTAATAAATAGTTGAATAAATACAAAATTTACTTTTTCAACATTTGTTTCTACTTGTCCAAAATACATTACCATTTATTTCCTGGACATGCCATTTTTAAGTTGTATTAGAAATGTAAAAAACAGCCCCACAAGTAAAACAACCCAGAAACCAAACCAAAGTAACCCATCAAACAGAACTATCTCCATAAGGCAAGCCCAAATACTTCTAGCTAGCGGGTTAGCTTTCTAATTTCCTTCTGTTTGGACACTGACACAGCATCTCTAATTCCACAATGCTCATCTGAGATCCTAATTTTTCCTGACCTCAGTACTCACATTTGGGGGCTACTATGTCAAAGCTTTTCAGCGTCCAGGGTGACGTAGCCTGGTTCAGCTTTCTTTCAAAAGAAGATTATTATGGTAATTGTAGGTCTCAAATCAGAATAGATTATAAAAACTTATTACTGTATTTTAATGTAAAATATTGTTAACTAAGGGCATCAAACTTTAAACCAAATTAATAACAAACTATGATCCCAGAGACTGCAGACCAGTAACTTATCTACCACACAAACAGCTGCACAAATCCCTCACATTTATTTTTTCCAGGCTTTCAACTTTGATTAATAACATGGTAAAACCATGCAAGTCTCAACCATATTAACCACAGCTATATTTTTAGTCCCACTGACATGAACACTTTAATATAATAAAAGGGAAAGGAAAACAGAAGAGGTGTTTCATTAGGACACGAGGATTACTGAAACCGCTGTGTGGAGCATTTGCCAGGAGGTGGTAGGGGAAGAGTTATTACTCACATTTTAGCATGTCGTTAGGATGTGGAGAGAGAGGATCCCTCAGTGAGATATGTTTGCTTTGGAAAAAAAATTAAGTAATCAGACCGTCCAAGCCCTCCTCACTGACACAGTCATAACAGCAAATTAGAAACTCAGTTAATTAGTTTCCAGCATTACATGGAAAACTATTTTTCCAATTTTGTTATAAAATTCCATAATATGACAGTGCTATGAGATCCAGAAGTTCACATATTAACCTGCCAGTCCTTTTTTATTGATAGATGGCTACATGCAAAAATATATGAAGCATGCAACCTGGTTGGTTAAAAAAATAGCCTGCACCACAAACCCTCAGCAAATTTGCCCTTGCAGCTGATTATAGAAGCTTATAACATATTTTAAAAGCATTAATGAAGAGAAAAAAAATTCCCCAAACCCAAATAAACCCCCTCCAATGGGTGATATAAACAAAAAACCTCAGCATTATGTCAGTAAAATAGCAATTTCAAAATAAATTTAAAGACTAATGCTTGCCTAACATTAAATTATTCAATATTTAACATGTTTGGCTTAGTGATTGAGTGGTACTGGGACTAGAGCTAAATTTGGTCCAGTCTCCTAGTTGACTGTTCATACAACAGAGCTGTTCCTTAGATGAGTTTCTGACACTAAATTCAGCTGAATGAATAGTATTAAGCACATCATAAAAAATATTTGGCTGAATAAGTAGTTTGACTTTTTTCTTGCCGCATGTACCTGCCTACACATTTGCACCAGCAGTATCTTTGTAATGATGCCTTTTGTGAGGGAGCCAAACCTTGTAAATCAGAATAATGGGTGAAACCAGTCACATATTTTTTTATTTCTATATTGCTTGCAAGAAGAGAGCTACATGTCAAAATTGAGGTGAAGACAACAAAGAGATTCAGGCATACAGCATCCTAACAGAGATCCTGAAATCACTGCTCTGGACAGCACTCAAAGAGCAGTCATGGCTGTACTGGAGACAGCCAGGTACCACAAAGGGGGTGCAATAACCCAGCAAGGAGAAAGGCAGAGCAATAGCAAATACCCTGTCACACTTTAACTGTAAGAAGAAAGCCTAATTTCTGTTTTGACCTTTGCAGCATTTTTAATGCACGACATCCATAGCATCAGAAATGCAGGGGAGCAGGGAAGGCAGACATCCCAATTTTTTCTAACCCACTAGAAAGTGGAAAAAATGTGCAGAAACCATTTATATGGCACCAGTGAAATGAGACCCTATGCACAGCCTTATACATGAACTTCTCGACCAGAGGGATTTGTCTCCGACTTGAATGCCACACAAGCACGTGTGAACCATTCCCACTCATCTGCAGTACCCATTCTGACACTGGGACTTTCCTTTTTAACTAGCCCAGGCTTGGCTAAGACTAAGATAAACATGTTTGGCTGCAACTTTTTTTTCTTTCAAAAAGAGGCAAACTGGATTATAGCAAATAACCTTTAAGATAATTAACTGACAATGCCGCAACTAGCATAAAATCTTCCTTCAGGCGACCCCTAATTTAAGTATTACTGGCACAAAGTGGAGACAGATTGTGCATCACCACCGCAATATTTACATAGCAGAAACCCACAGAGCAGGAAACGTGAGACTCAATGATGCACTAAATTAGGAACAATCATATTCTAGTGTTAATTTGCTTTCTCCTCTATCCAAAATTCAGGTCCAGCAATTGGTACAAATGCACATAAAACATTCCCATTTTTAATGATTAAGAACCACATTCTGCAAGCAGTTTCACTCAAAAGTACATTCAATTACTACTGGGCATGTTTGAGGGATCAAACCCCCAAAGTGAAACAGGTCTACCAATGCAGAGATTTTTTTAGAAACCAAAGGCTTCCTAATGCATTTATTTCTTTCCATAAATGATGTCTGTGCAAGCAGTCTGAGTCCTCTGCCAGGCTACCTGACTTTTAGTTGCAAATATTTTCCTCTGACAGTAACACTGTGATTATGTGGCATAATGGAGAAGCAGTTTTAATTCTCCGATGCTGTAGATGCTTGCAGGTACTTAAAAGGCTGCGTAATCAAAGAATTAAAGTTAAAATGGGGAGGAAGGAAAAGATAACAATTCTATTTCTAAATATATTGGGAAGTGATAAATTTATAATATACACTATCCAGAGACATCTTTCACAAGCAATACTCTTAGTTACAGCACTTCATAAGATAAAAGCAAAGAACCATCACCGACCTTTCTAATAGAATCTTAAATATTATTCAAATTTGGTTCCACTATGGCATATTAACAAAATATTTACCTTGCCTAATCGCTGATGTTCTTCAAAAGCAGAAATCAGTTCTTGTGCCCACTTTATTTTTTCAGGGCTCGGAGAGAACTGTTCCTGGACAACAGCAATTTGGTTGGGGTGAATCACCTGCTTACCTACAAAGAAGATTAATAACACCAGAATCATGCATCGACAAACAGATGTTCAAGCAAAATGTTCCAACCACTTGAGGCTCTCATATGCCTTGCAGACTTTCTTGTTCTCTAACTAATTATTTTACTTAGTTTATTTTATTTTTCAAACTGGAAAACAGGCAGATAGCTTTTTGGCAGATTATTTTAAAAGTAAGAATACCTTGTGCTATGCTTACATTCAGTATAGTTTGAGAGAACCCACGATTCTTTCTTCTCTCTCCCCATTTTGATCCATACATTTTCTCTCAGTCATTTCAGATGCAATTGTTTGTCTTGGGCAGCCAATAACAATTAAGTATAATGCATCTCTGAATTTGACTATGTAAATAACAGCCCCAGCTACTCTCAAATAAGTTGTATTAAAGTGTGTTCAGAAAATGAGATCTGAAGAAGATGGCAAGAGATCTATAGGGCTGAAAAGCTACCAGTACCCTAAGGATCATTCCCTAAATTCTCAGTATTGGCTTAGCATCATGTAATCCTCAATGTTGTTTAAACAAACTCTTGTTGCTGCAATTATTGGTAGTTGCAGGTAGGCTGCAATATTTAGTTAGTCACTGGTATAGCAAAGAACCACCAGCAGTGTCCTGAGGCTTTATGAAGCAGTTTTTTTAATCCTTTCTTGTATAAACATAAGTTAAGAAAATAAAAATAGATGTTGTCTTTTTCACTAGAGATTTTCAAATGTGAATAGACAGCCACATAATCCCTTTTAATCTGTGATTGAATTTAGCTACCTTAAAACAAATACACGTCTAATTTGTTTGACACTTTAAAAAGTGCAGCGTTTGACGTTATTAGTTCACTTCTATGGGAATTTCACAGACCGGTGGGATTTCTGTGGTTTGCTTTTAAGGTGCATTAATAAAGGGAGGCTACCGTAACTCCCAGCTTCCTTCGGAAGAAATGACTCTCCTCGGTGCCACATAACAAAACCAGTCAGAGGGACGAGCCTGCTCCTGCAAAGCTGCCAGCAAGTGAGCAGTGCCCTGCAGACCGAGGGTCCCTCAGCCTCTCATGCCAGCGACATTTCTGCACTTGGCCAGGACAAGCTGGAAGTGGCAGGACCCAGGGAGGTTTCCTGCACAACGGGGTCTGCTCCCATTTAGGCAGCTGTGCTCTAGGAACCAGCCCATCCCCGGCTCTGAGAAGCCTCACGCCTGAGCGCAGGAATGCACCTATTTGCCATGAAATAACCACTGCAAAAATCCCCGGGATTGCTTTCACCAGGCTGCAGTGGCTCTGAGTGATAACCTGGAGCACAAAGAAACTCTGCTTCATTCAATGAGCAAAGAAATAGTAGTGCTTTAGTGTTGCTACGTTCCTTTGCTAAAATGCCATAAGTAGCTCAATTTTATTTCTTCTTAAACAACGTTTAGTTTATGCTTTTACAAGCATGCAAATATTAGTTTGAAATTTCAATATCAAAACTATTTTTAAAATACCTTGAATATAGGTAAAAATTTAAACCCCAACAAGAACCACGATTTTTGAAAGAAATGACACAAATAATTTTTTTAACAAATGTGTTTTATCCTAAATCTACTCAGAGGTTTTTTAGTAATTTTAATAAAATCTCATAATTAATAAGCTGATGATGTTTCTTAATTGTAATACAACAAATTCTCCATAGCTAAGCCATTAATTCCAAAATTGAAGTGTGTACCACAATTTCTTAAAAAATCCTGCAGAGCTTAACTTTTTGGAAAAAAATGTTGAGTATATTTTAAATTATATTTGAATTCAATCTCTAATTATAAGAAAATTAAAATTATGTAAATATGATCTTTAAAAGTGTAAAACATTTCTGTAAAAAGACTTGCTTTTGATAAAGATATCTATAGTAGTAAAAATGTTTTCAATCATTAAAACACTACTGAACAATTTAGGGAGAATATAATCTAATTTTGATTTATAGCAGTTGGTTGATTTTTGTCACAGACTACCTAACCAAATAACTGTATAACAGACACAATGCCATGCAGGAACAAAGTAAATATTTTAAACAGAATTGTTGTTATTGACAAGTTACTGAGAGAGTGCAAAATTGGAAGACATTAAAATTTATGACCACGAAATCCTTTTTACAGTACCACTTGATATATTGTGTTTTAAATCAATACTTGTCAAGTATTTTAGGTAACTGTATGATGGTGTCATTTTAGTCTTCTACAAAAGACTGAAAAGGAGAGGACACCTAGACTGTTTCGTATTTATATCTGCTCTCACAGCACGTAGCACAGGATTTTTATAATGACTAAGTCAGCTGTTAAAGCTTATGGCAAGACTTACCTAATTTTTTACACAAACATTCCTAAAACCTATGCCCATTTATATAGGCAACACACTGATTTAAAGTCCACAGGTATTGGTAGTGTAAAATATCTCGAAGGATGTCTATGGATATATAAATATATATATTTCTTATAAATATAAATCTGAAAGTACTATTAATTTGGCTGGATTACATTAGAAAATATTTGATTTTATGTTTATACACTCACTGAAGGAAAACCAGGCTGATTTTAAGATAATTGAAAAAGAAAACTTGGCTGCAATAAGCCGTGAGGTTTGCAATAATATTTAAATAGCTGGTAAATTCTTCATTATATTATTTTGCTTGTTTAATGTTGAGGGAAGCTATTTGATTACATTAAGGGAAATTTTACTGGCCTAATATGGGGACATCTAAGGACATACAATTTTGCTAAATATTTAGGATTTGTATTGCTTTTGAGCATGGTGAGTTCAGCCCTGTTCATGAAAATAAGTGAGTGTTCCCCAGCTATGAGAGCAATTTGCAAGACTCATCTCATTTTAGTTCTGTTGATTTCAATGATTTTGATTCTTTATTTAAAAAGTAGCAGGGAGGGATCTTATATTTAAAAATTAGAAGAATTGCACATTTTGAATTTGTTATTAGGTTGAGATTTCAATACCTTTACATTATCAGAGGGCTGTCAGTGGCAAATACAATGTGCATATTTCTGCTTTATACAACATCATGGATTAATCTAAGGCCCATTTGTAATTTTCCGTGATGAATGTGAAATTGAAAATGTTAAAATGTTTCACTTATATAGATTTGGAAAAAACTTGCATAGGTTTGGAAAAAGATGATTTTGCTATCAGTTTTTTAGATTTTATTTCAATCAAAAGAAGCAGGAAAGATTATAAAAAATATCAGATAAACTGAGAGCAAAAAGCCAAAGAACAAGTGAAATATTTTAGATTGACCAAAAATATTTTTTTTCCAGAGGAAAAGGAAAAATGCTATTTTGTTTTCGCTCAAACAGATTTTATTTTTTTTCCCCCACCAAATCAGTAGAGTCAGTATTGCCCCATCTCTAATTACAGTTGGACTGATTGTTTGCTGGGTTGTTTGCTAAATTTTGGAACTGTGTTGATGATAGCTGCAGGAAGGCAGGAGGCAAAGGGCAGGTGCTGTGAGAGCACCTTAATAAAATCTGTTCTTTTCATGGACCCTTACTTCTCGTATGGAAATGCAAGTATGACACATGTACAGCCAAGACAGAAAGTAATTTTGCACCCTAAATTGCTCTGTGACCTTTTTATTTGTCTTCTGTCTGGACCCTGTTCTAAGGTCAGACAACCTCCACCATAAAGTCAGTGGAGTCCAAATCACCATCAGCATTGGTTATGCTGAACATTTCTAAATTTCCTAAATTGACAGCCTCAGTTAAGCATTTAAATGCACTTTAAGCGTTCAAAAAGAGTGCTCTCAAAGGGTCTAGGCACCTGCAACTCCATCTTCTGTCAACAGGAGGTTCAGATGTTTATGTTTTTTCAAAAATGAAGCCTTTCCTAAAGCTAGGAAATATTGGTTGAGACTAGGTAGCCGTCAGCAGGTGCTACCATTCAGCAGCTCTATTATTTTCCCAACTTCAAAGGCAGCCGAGGGAAGGGTGGAAGTCCACACGGCCGTGGATAATGTAGCTGTGAGGAGCTAACCATTTCACCTCCAAAACAAGACCTGGGTTTGCAAATGTCAAAGCTCAATAGACAGTAAAGCAGAATTCATGCCGAAAAGCATTGATTGCTATTCTTTCGCTGGCATGCCAAGGTCACTTAAAATGGCCCTTATTTTTTTGGTTGGTGCTTTAAGATATCATATACAGCTAACTGTAAAACCAGAGTTTGCTAGGTGGCATTGCTAGGACCCATGCTTTTGGTAACAGGAACCTAAGGGATGCACTATTCTCATACATGTGTCCTGGATGGTGGTCAGAGAAAAATAAGGTGGTGTTTGTCCTGTGTTAGAATTCTCTCCTGTATGTGTCAAATGGCTGCTTTCTATTGCAACTCCCAGTCTTTGCTGGCTGCACTGTCCCAGCGATGTGTTCGAGTGACCTGCTACACCAATCACAGGGTAACAGGCTGCATTACAGAACTGTGGGGCAAGGACCCTGCTGCTCTTGTTGTCTGCCAATACCCATAGGTGTCACCAGCACTTACCACGGGGAAAGCCAGAAGATGACAAACAAACCAAAGAAAACAATAAGAAAATAACTTTCCCCTAGCAGCTACCATATGAGATTTACTTCTCAATTTTTTCACCTAAAAAGTATTTTTTAACTGCTGCTGTTGTTCAAACAAAGAGAACAGGCTCCAGTTGTGGAGGAGCCATTGCAGAGTACAGCATTGCCTTTCCTGTGCTCTGGGAAGGGAGGAATCACTGCACAGCCTCTACCCCAACTTCTCTTCAAAACCGGTCACACGCTTCATGGCATACGGTTTCGAAAAGCAGTCTGTTTCAGGCAAAATTTCCAGCCACAATTTTTAAGATGGTAATAAACATAGAAGAGCTTGATATCAATGAGTTTTTCAATAAGTGCCCTGAAACAAAAATCAAGTTATTTGTCTAAGTGACAGTAAACATAGTGACCTATTTAAAATGAACAAGGTCCGCGTTCTTTTGAGACATCGGCAGAAAGTCGTACCAGTGAATCCCATTGAGGCGCCTTCCCTCGACTGCCTGCGGAGCCCATCTTCATCATGGAAATCAATGTAAACAAGGTCTATTGCTTGAAGGCCAAATGCCTTTGCTGTGACTATGATTTTTTGCCTGGCGTACAGAATATCATGAGTTTCCTTACTGCTTGTTGCACCTAAGAAAATAATGAGAACAAAGAAAAGCTGACAAGAGTGTTTTAAACCTTTCTGTTTTAAATATTTCTTATGTTAAAGAAAAGGGAAAACTTTGAGACTATATTTAACTGATTTAAAAAATAGAAGAGGAATGTAAGGCTATACTGTAGAGTCAAAATGATACTCTTCTCTGAGGAGAAAAGGAAAGACACTTTAGCAAAAATAAAAAATAATGTCCCTCTAAACACTGGCTTATAAATTCAGATTTTGATTTAGTTTAAATCAGAAGTTGAAAGCCTGAAGTCAGTGGAAGCTTTGTCTGGTAAGGACTGCTGACTTGGCTAAAATGAAAGTAATTATTTGATTTTACTATTTACTGCATGTACAGTGAGAAGCATTACAGCAAGAGAAGCTTTACACAAATTGATATACTGGGTCCAACTAAATGGTTAAAAAATTCACACTGAGAATAGAATTGCACTTTCCTTGGTTCTGATTCTTGTCACAACTGATGTCCTAAGCTGAATATTTAAGCTTTAGTATTTGAATGAAAAATTGATGGTAGATGACTTCTGAGAAGAAGCAAAAGTATTCATGAGACTTCATGTGCTCACAGGCTACCAGCTAAGCAATATACTCATGTTAAGGCTAGTGGGAAAAATAATAACAATAATAAACATAAGGTTACTATTTAGGTAGAGATTTTCAGTTTGTACAGAATATTTTAGTGAAGCAATGCTGATTTTTACATTAACATACTTATTTTTAATGTAGAAGTTCATAGCTCTGTGCTTTTATCTTTAAATTAAATCAGAAGCTAAGTGCCCTCTTATAAAAGAAATAGAGAAGCACTTTTTATTTTTTAGGAAGACTAATAGTGCTTTCATGTGAATATGTGGCTGTATTGACATGTGACATCTTTAAAATAAATTTAGAAAAGCAAAATGTAGCAGGAGAGTATTTGTGCTTGATGTCAAAAGCCTGAGTGACAGTTGTATGTAAAGAAGTGGTGAAGCGGACACCAGAATTTTAGGACTTTCAAATGTAGTTCTAAAAAGCATGTGAACGTTGCTTATGCATACGATATTTTAAAATTATTTCAGTGACTCAACAGGGTGGGGGTTTTTTTGTCTGTGTTTTTTTTTATTTTTTGGGGGGTTTTTTTTGTTTTGTTTTGTTTTGTTTTTTTGTTTTTTTTCATTAACTTTTGGTACTGACTGGCAAAATGCACAAGAAAGTCTCAGTGCCCTGTAACACAAGAACCATGTTTTAAATTGCCAGTGGTACATTCTGCACTGAAAAGAAATTACGGAGTAAAACAAAAACGTAAAATGCAGGCTCAAGTGTCATTACTTTAATTATTGCTGTCAGAAATTTCACAGGCTTCTCCAAAGCAAATGCCATACATAAACATTTATAATAAAGAGACAAGTAACAACCTATGCTGGCACGGAAATCCTCTCCTCCAAAGACAACTGCATCCAAATGGAAGCCAACCTGGGATCCTCTTCTCAGTGCTTCTTCACAGACAGCCTTCAAATGAGAACAGAGTATTAATGTCTACAGAAATGCAGGATGCAGAGAGACTACAGAGGCTGTTACAGCAACCCAGTGTTACCAAAATCCTTCTGAGAATATTGCTCCTATTAAGCAAAGCCACTGTAGGTTCTTGACAATGCACAGTGCTTTAAAATGACTCAGCAAAAGAAAAAAGTATTTTGCTTTCCCTAAGCACCCAGACAGCAAATACTGGACATCAATAACAGGTTCCCCACCTTCTGGTTTACATTATGCCCCAGGTGTTACTGTGACCATTACTTCAGACATTTATGTAGCAATATGAAACAAAACATTTGGCAAATATTGCTTAACAACAAGCAAAAAGTATTAAATTTGATTAGTTAAACAAGCAGTATATCTGCATGAGAAACAAAGATCAGAAACTCTTTTATGAAATAAATAATATTAATGGTTTACAATTATTTTAAGTTCCTTACAAGATAGAAGGATTACCAATTTAAAGTCTCTGGCTACATATAACTAAAAATAAGCTAAGGAAGTTAAAAATGCAACAAATGCTGCAGAAAAGCATTAAAATAAAAGTAAAGCAATTTTTCTGCTCTAGCTTTTTTCATGAGGAGAGTAGTATTGCTATTTTATATTGCTGTTTGGATAATATTGGTATCTTTTAAGGCTAAGGTACATGGGGAGAGACATGTAATTACCAGCTCTACTATCGGGTGTTCTTCTATGGCAGCTGGTGGGACACAGAATTATTCTGTAACAGAGTGTGCTTTAAAAGGGAACTCTCCTGCCAGCATCAGCAACTACAACATTAAACCTCCACTATAAAATACTGTAGGTGAAGAAAAAGCTCAATGGTTTAATATATGATCTAATTCTGTGTTTGCACACCGGACAGGAGCGTGTCCATTTGGTTATGGCTTTATCGTGCTCGCAGATAGGTCAGTGTGTGCTGTAAGATAAATGGCTGTATCAAACGATCAGGCTGCCTGTGAGGTACTTCTGGAGGTACCTCTGATCTGTGTGTCCTCAGCTGGTCTGAAACTTTTCCCTTAGAGCTTGGGAGGGGAATGCAGAGTTCCTTGTGCATGCACGAGCTCTTCTGTTTCATTACCATGTTGCCTTGCCATTCTGAAAAATCTGGACTCGATAGGAAGGGTTGGGGAATGATTTATATTAAAATGAAATTAATACATTAGATTTGATCTAAAATTATCCTAAAAAATGAGCATGTTCTTCAGGTATTTTCAAAGTTAATTCTGTTTCTAATCTTAACGTTAAACACTCCATCATACAGACAAAGAAACGATAACATGGAATTTGGTTGTAATGTTGTTAGTAGAAACCATTATAAAGAAGCAAGTTTAGCAATAGTGACATGATGATTAACTCTTATTTCAAACTAAGTGTTACACAAAAGTTGTATCTGACAGCTACTAAATAGCCTGCAACACTGAGTATTCCAAATCTTTGGAGAGGCCTTTTTCCACTCCAAGTGTGTTCAAAACAGTAACAGGAATGAAGAGAGGTTTTGATATTTGGTGTGGACTGTCTGGAACTGTTCTGTCGCTGGAATACTTTGAATTTATGAAGGCCTTTATAATACAAACATCAGAGTTCAATGTGCAAATGTTTTTGGGGATTGAACAATAAGTTTTGTAATATTTAACCTCTTTTCCTTGATGAAATCAGGGAGAGACTGAGGCGTATTTTGCTTATACTAGTTTGCTGAGATGGCAAAATATGGACACTTCAAGACTTTCTTACCTTAAAATTGAGCAAGCCCATTGCAGTTTCCACAAAGGGGATAAAATTCATTGGTTCTACAAGTGTTCGGCCTTTTAGGTGATGTAAGAATTTGTCTGAAAACTAAAACTAGACAGAATGAGCTATCAGAGGGAAAAAAAGAACAGTCTACATGTATACACAACATGGCAAATATCCACCTGACTGTAACAAACACCCCTCCACACCCCAAAACCTGATAACTAAAAAAAAATTACAACAGCTATTGACAAGGCCTGTGATCTGAAACTGCAGCATTCCCATACATTTCTAAATTTGGAGGCTGGTTTGCAAGAAAAAAAAAAAAAATCCAAGCTCAGCACCTCTCACCCTGGCTTAGTGAAATGCAAATCCATGGGCTCTGGAAAACAATGAAGTGCTGCTGTACCTGAGGTCCTGTTTTGTTTCAGGTCCAGCACTGCCATCACTGGAAGCGCTCCCCAGCCTTCTAAGTGGCATCCGTATTATTCATTACGGCACCGTTACCCTTTTGTTCAATAGGCTTTTCTTCATAATTTTTTAGCTTACCTAGGAAGGCCTTAAAAAGGAAGTTTAATTCTTTGAAGACCAAAGCTTGCCAATTTTTTCCATGAGACCAGTTCACAGCTAGCTCTGAGCTGCCAGTGGGGTAGCCCAAATTCCAAAATCTATCATCTGGAAACATACAAAAGCTCTTGCACAGATTTTTCCCCTTTCAAAAGGAAAAAAAAAAAAAAAAAAAAAAAGAGGGGGGGAACCTTCAGCCTTATATTGTAAATGTATTATGTCTGTCCAGATCGAGTAATTTGCGTTAAGATAAACATATTGCAGGTACTGCAAAAATGTTAGTAAATAAAGACAAAAATCACATATGCATATATTTTAAATTTAAGGAATATTCAACTATTAATGGATATCAAAGGAAAGGGAATTTTAATCATCTCTCCATTCAGTCTCAGTTGGGTAAATCATATCTAAGAGATTTGCATAAATATAAACCATCAAAGACTTTTCATCTTCAAAGGGGGTTTCAAGACCCTATAAGCTTTGTACTGTAATCATCGCAGGTCACAACCCTGCAGGAATAAGGCTGCTATGGCAACATAAAAAACTAATGCTTAAGGCTTAGCATAATATTCTGACTAATAGAAAGGAAACTCATTTTAAAAGCTGGCAGCCTATTTACCAGAAGCTGGATTAGAGGTGTTATTTCCCCTTTTAGCTTCCCCCCACCACCCCTCCCCAAAAGAAGGAAAATCTAATCACCCAGATCTTGAAAAAAAAAAAGGTTTCCAGCAATTTGCAGTAACTTTACAATTAGGCCAAAATAAATCACAGCTTTCTCTGATGAAGAATTCCACTCTCCCATCTCTGCTCTGCATCATCACCATGGCCCTCTTGATAACTTTTCTTTAGTGAAGAGAATTCCACTCAAAAATGTGCAAGGAGAAAAAAAAAATCAATTCAATTCACTCTGTACAGTATGGCAGGTTACTACAGAAAACAGTAAAGTTCACCCAGGCAAATGCAAAAAATGAGGTAATATAATGGTATCAGTATATCTTCTTAAGACTCTTACCTGGTTTTAATTTTTTTAAGAGGGAAAAAAAGGAAAAAGTGCTACTATGTGCATATTTTAGGTACAAGTTAATGAGCAGAGTTCTTGTTTTATTTTAAAATATTTTAAAGTCACACTCCTGGAATTTTTGCTATCTTTTGTTTTGAAGGTAAAGAAAAAAAAAAAAGAGCACATTTAATTAAATGTTGCCTCCCTTCCTCTCCCTTGTAAAAGATTTGCAATAAGCACCAATACAAAAGGTAACGAGAGGAGAAGTTTCAATTAATTTTTTTTTTTTTTTCAAAAGGAGACGATTAAATGTTTCCGGCCCGGTAAAGTGTTCATTTCAGGGAGAAAGGAAAAAAAAAAAAGAAGAAGGCGGAGGAAAAAAAACCCCACAAAGCTTGGGGAGGGGATGAAGTAGCAAGGCCTCAGCAATTCTTTCAATTCCAGTGCACACCCAATAGTGTGTCGGGAAGAATGCACACTGGTCGGGATTTGTGGGAGAATTGTCCCGCCACAAAGGAGGGAGAGTTACGCTTGTTATAGTCCAATAAGCCATGCCAGTCAAACAAGTACCCACACTAGGGACAAAAGGAAAGCAAGAGATTCTCACACAAAAGAAAACAAGTAAGCCCATCTTTTAGTTGTGCATCAGCCTCCAGGTTTTCTGCTGCACATAAATAAAAATGAAGGGGGGGAGCGGGTGTGCGTGGGGGGAAAGAAACAGCTTCTGGGAGGCTGAAAAATCATGCTGGAGTGAATTTTTTGAGGATTGGGAAAAGAAGGCAGTGGTGTTAGGCAGAGTATGTTCTTTGTGTGTAAAGGTTGGGCAAAGGGAGAGTGAAGCAAAAGAGGGACCATGAGGCAGAAGCTTCTGGGGTTGGCTTGTTTTCCATGATGGAAATAAAAGTTAGCGAGAGGGAAGGTGGAAGAGGATGAGGGGACAAAGAGCCCTGGCATCCCATCTCCCTGCAAAAACTACTTGGTGGCAGCAAGGGCTCTGCCATTTTGGTATCATGAATATTCATCACTGACAGGTTCTGTCTAACACTTACACGGCTGTAAACCCTGAGAGGTGCACTCTGGTTAATTTAATTACCCGCTGGTGGAAGGGGATGGCGAACCTTCCGTGGTGAGCAGTGGAGGCTGAAGGGGCAGCGGCACGGGACGGACGGGGCCTGTCCCACAGCCGGCGTACGGGGCCGTGCTCCGCTGTGCGCTCAGGCCCATCTCCATGGCTTGGTCAAGGTTAGGTGCTGAGATTAAAATAGATCCTAACGCGCCTGCCTGCCTTTCATCACAGCTTGCACGCGTGCTACTTGCTCAGCTAGCGGTTTGCAAAAAATATAAAGTGAATAACTAAGTATTATTCCTTTACTGGTGTGTTACAGCAATAATGGTATATCCAAACAAGCATCCCTTTTTTTTGACAATTAAAACAATTATAGCATAATTAGGTCTATTTCAAAGTTTTCTTAAGTAATTTGACATGCCAACCATTTACATTTCAGGTTTTTATTGGCTGAAAAGTCAGTTGTGAAACACAAACACACCTGTCAGCAATTAAAAAGGAAGAAGTAGAGAACTGTTCAGGAAATAATATCTGTGCTAATTAAAAACACTAGTTAAAAGCTTCCTGTTTGTTCCTCCAGTTGCCCCAAGGAGTGACCTTCCCCCCAACCCATTTTTTCATATGTTGCTAACATGCTTTCCTATCTCCTGCTTCCAATGCACATAACTAAGGCTCTTGGACAGACAATAATTTTGCTTGTTAGGGTAGTCTGAGAAGAGTCAGGCACTTACCCTTCTACTTTTTATAATATATTCTGACAGCAATATTGGTTCTTTGTCAGCAGTGGGAGAAATACACCTGGTTTTCTTTATAAACGTGTTCCATATATGCTTTTTATACAGCACATCACAGACACATTTAAGTGGATGCACTGCCCAATTACCTCAGCCGAGCAACAACATCATATGGCATTTGCAGCCTTCCTCTTAACTCACAGGCATTCATCTCTGCACCTGGGTGAACTTGGCCCAACAGCTTCAGTCAAAAGCTGCTGTGTTGCTGGTACTCACCCATCTTATTTCCTCAACATTTTCAACCTTTGGCAGCATCATGCTTGAAGGCAGGGTCTTGGACTGCAAAAGCACCTCTAGATCTTCTTCTGCAAGGCCGCTGGACACAGAGTTTATCCTGACACACTTTTCACCTTGGCCTAAGTCAAACTCTTCAAGGGTTTTCACGATGTTCAGTCTTGCTTCTCTCTACAGTATATACAAGTTCAGATGCACAAGAAAAGAAAAAGAAAGCATATTTTCTATTGTCAGAAAAACACACTGAGAAGAAAACTTGTTGAAATTACATGGGGGAAAAGCTAGACAGCCAGTATAATGGTTTCCCCAAAATGTCTGTCACTCTAGGACTTTATTGAAGCAGTCATCACCAGAACCTCACAGTTTTACCTTCCTCTTTACTGTTTCTTTATAACTGGTAAATGCAATTCATGGGGTTTCTACCACTTGCAGAAAACAAGACTTTTGTGTCTGCTAGTACTGAACATGTGCAACAAACATAAATCTTTATGCTAACATAATGTGTGGCACTAACTGTCTGCTCTCTCAAAAATGGCACAGACTTAAATTTGCATAAAAAATTAATTTTTGTAATTTAGCTCTGTAATTTTGCCTGAATGTCAAGAAGTACAGATGTACATACCTCTTTGGTTTTCCTTTACTCCATGTATTCAAAGTACATTAAAGACAGTAATAGAATTCACAACTTGCATATAAAAACAACACTGAAATAACTCCAAGGTTTTACTTAGGCCACATGAAAGGGCATTCTGTTGGCACAAAATAAAATCTCCAAAGACACACGTTTCCCTGGGTCGCTTGCTATTTTTGTGAATGTAAATTTACAAATCTGTTTAATGGTTGATTTGCATGAAGACTACTGGCATGCTTTTCTGAAATGTAATGCATTTCTTGGCCTGGAGAAGGGGGTAGGGGTTGAAGGAAGGTGCTGGGCTCCTTGCTTCCTGCCAACTGAAGTTGCAACCCCAAATTCCTTCCACTCACCAACAGCCCCTAACAAATTTGCATTGTCAAAATGCACACTTATCATTTCATTTGTGAAGAATTTTTATGGGACTAATAAAACTTTAAAGCTCCTGACTCAAGGAGGCTCAGGAATGACTTTAACAATATGCAGTCGCTGAATAGAGATGCTTTTCAAGAAAAAAAGGCAAACTCAAGGGGGAAAAAAAACAACAAAAAGAAATCATCAAAGTTAATATCCAGGCTAATACAAATCAGCAAGAGAGCACATGACAGTAGATTTAAACCAGACGGATGCAAACCTCTGCCGGCAAGAGGGGCAGAGGTGGTTTCCCAATGTGGTCTGAGTTAAACAGTGTGAGGGAACAGTAGCTTACAGTTGTCAGGACCGATGAGAACAGGGTCTCCCAGGCCACTTTAAGACAGCTCTGCACCGTACTGCAGATTTACAGGGGTAGGACCCCTGATAATTAGGGTAAGTTTAGAGAAAAGCAATTGGTGGCTCTAACTGGTTAAAGGGAAGGAATAATGAAGCAGAAAGTTAATGAAATCTGAAGCGAACAGCCTTCAGCTTGGGGCTACTAGCCGTGCTCCTCCGAAGGCTGGGAGCATATGCCCGCTAATCGGACAGACGGGAACAAGGCGCCCAGGTATGTATCCCTGGGCTGCGATCAAGGGTCACGTTCAGAGGGAATCTCTGCAAAATGCAACCCAAAACACTCGAACTGCTGTGAATGGACTCTGTCTGGAGCCATTAGGAAAGCCACATAAAGATGCACACAGTTTAGTACAAACACGTCCAGCTGGAAGACAGCTCCGGCCCGTGGCTGTCTGAAATGTCTCTTCCAAATTAGGTAAACCCAACCATATGATGCCAATACTGGGAAATACAAATCCCCTATGATTTCCCTCTCTGAGTCGGGGTAACAGGTTTATAGGGCTGGGCTGAAAGTTTCTGGACATGATGCAGAAGGGTAGCTTAAAATCACACTCCAAACCAATTTATGCTTTTAATTAAAGTCAGATTATCACCGTTTCAGCACACACCGATGCGATTTGCAATAGACAGATCTTCCCAAAGTATCCTCTAAGGCAGCACTCAATTGCAGCTGAAGGCACATCTCCAGCAAACCTGCAGCCTAATTTGTTATGATTTTTTTTTCAGAATATAACAATGAGCACTAGACCATCTCATATCTATTTTTCTCCTCAGTCTGCAAACTCCCTTCCCAAAAAAGACAGATCGTGTCTTTCTAGGTATATTTCCATACAAAACACTTATTAACAGGCTGTTGCTGTTATCAATTTACATAAACTAAATGTGCAGCCCTCTGGTACGTATCCCAAAAATAACCAACAACTTCATTGAATTTATACCAACCAACAAACATGGGGAGGGGGTTGATGTTTTTTCCCATATTTTAATAGAAAATATGTTGCTATGTTAGTTAACACACCCATGCCATCTGTTGGGTTGAGAATTGATGCGTTTTCTTAGAACTGCTATGTATTAGATCTGTCTGCCTAGATACCCCAGGAATGGAAATGTTTCCTTTCCATGATATAATACTTCTAGTCACTATAGTTTCCACAGCAAGAATCAATTTGTGTTTTTAATTGTTGAACAAACTGATGGGACCTGGCTGCCAAAGCCAGAGCCTGTGAGGGGGCTGACTCTGTGCCTACCCTTCCTACAATGGAGGAAATCTGACTGATGTTAGTGGGGAGTATCAGGTTCCCATAAAGGTCTCCAATAAAACATTTCATGGGTAAATAAAAAAATTATATACTAAAACCTTTGACCAAATGTACTAAAAACGTGAAGAAAAGGGAGAGACCTTTCTGCCTCGTTAGGCAGGGAAACGTAGAGGCTACTCTTATTGTAGAATTCGTGCAACATCTAAAATCCTAACCTAAATAAACAAGTCCAAAATTGTAACAGAGAAAAAGGTAGCCCTTGGTACAATAATGTCCTTACTGCCAACACTGGAAAAACTAGAATTTTTAAGGAATGGTGAGAAAAATATTTGCCCTGTTCTCCACATGAGAACTACAACATCAGATGATACTTTGTCATGAAAGAATAGCTGATAAAGAAATAAAGCAAATCATTAAGTAAAATATTTCATGCTCAAGTAGCTTGGGATGGTGGTATCCTCCTTGGGTCCCATGTGAGTTGGGTTCTTTATCAAACTGAACAAGACAACATGGTAAATAGTGATACTATTAAAATAGTTTAAATTTGTGCTGGAAAGCTCACTGAGGGAAAAAAATGGTTGGTCAGGGTGGCTACTTTAGCAGCCCTTCTGTTTGACTCTGAAGAGGACACAGGAAGAGGTTCATTACTGTGTGCAGCTACACCAACTGGTGAAGATAAAGGTTTCGATGACACAGCATTGCTGACAAATCCATTGCTGCCCAAACACACACACACACGCAGAAATTAAAAATGGGAATGCGCACATTGCCGGCTCCACTGGCACCCATTAAACCTAATAACTAACCATCCTCATGAGTTTCTAGCTCTGAATTATCAAATCTGCAAAGAAAACAACATCCGTCCACTTTTACACTCCAGTGGAAGAGGTGGTCCCTCGCGGCAGGGCTGCGCAGTCTCGCCATCTGGAGAATAAATCGAGTGTGAAGTACAGTATAGTTTGGGACCAAGCTCCGTGGCGGCAGCCCAGCAGTTAGTTCATTAGTCCCAAACTTGCGGGGATTAGTGCGGTATCAGCTCTACTGTCGGATGGGATCAGGCAGGCAGAGAGCGCGAGACTCGGGGAAGGGGGTGGCGGCAAAGAAGGAGCCCCTTGGGCTTGTTGATAAAACCGCACTGTATTAGTGCACCTGAATGTGTGCTTTTGGTAACAGTATTTGGAAACAGTTTCCCATCATCTGAATCGGTACCTTTCCATTTCTCCTTTTTTTTCTGTATGTTATACGTCAAAACATAGAAATTTCCACTTCAGAAGAGAAAAACTAAAGAAGGAAGAATGCCACAGAGCTGGAAGTTCAGCCACCCACTCACCTTGGACACACTGTTAACACAGCAAAAGATGGTCAGATTAACAGCAGATGGAAAAATTACATTTTCTTCTTTCTTTTCTAACTGGTACAATTCCCTACAATCTTGCTTTTCAGCATTTTTTTCTATAAAAAAGAGTACCTGATTTTGAGGTACTAGAAACCTAGTACCTACATGATTTTGATGACAAAATCTCTGTTTTGATTTATTTTTCTTGCCTAGTCCTCCCCCTTTTTTTCTAAAGACCTCCAGGTCTTAGTGTAAAGATAGTGGTCATACTTAAATATACATTTGCATACAGATCTCATCCTGTTAACGTCTTTTGGTAACAGTTCTTCATATGGAAATGTAAATATATAATGCACTAAAATGGCAGGCCAGAATCCATCATCCTCAATGCCATAATAAGTTGGCATGTTTCAAATAAGAGAGGAAAAATTAATTACTATAATCACAATTCAAGTTCTTTTTTTTTGTGACATGTCTGACATGGTAAAAACATACAATTATGTGTTAATGTTAATTCCTTGAAGTGGTTTGTTTGCAGAACTTGACATTGCTGAATCTTTTGTCACTTGTATTAGTGCATTCCATACAAATGCACCTCTCAAATAAAATTTTGCAGAAGAGCACCTGCATATTATATACCTATAGTAGCTTTTGTGCATCATAGAGTTTCTGCAGAGGGAAAGCCTGACATTTTCTCCATGCATAACTCTCCATCAATGAAGTGATGCCATACAGAATGATGCCATACAATTGCCATTTAGTTTCAAATTCACAAATGGGATTGGCAAGAGAAAAGACAAATCACATTTGTTTTTAAGGAAACAAAGAGAACTGTAAATGTGGAGCAGAGCACTTCTGAGACAGCAGGTACTTGTCTCATGAGACTTGCTTTCTGCCTTATATATATCACATACTCATGAGAATAAACCTTTGAAATGGCAAGTACGTATTTCTAGTTAGTCTTGGTAGACTGAAAAACTTAAAAACTGTGCTGTAAAATATGCACAAAACATCCAGGAAGTGGTCATTAAATATTTTCTTATTTTCACCTCTGAGCAGATAATCAGTTAACGAGTTTTTAAAGATTTAAGAAATTTTAGAGCACATTTTCTTTTGGTTCAACATGGAACACACCCAACCCACCATGTAACAAGTCCTAAAGGAAAAAAGGGGC